TATTTCTATCTATTTACTAATGCTAGCAGCATACGGATTACAAACAGTTGATGGTGATGGAGAGAGTATAATTGCGCTTTGAAGGGGTTTATCGCGTTTTCGTTGCGGTCGGGGCGAACCTTTTCCGAGGGGCTACATTAATAATAAAATGATCATGATTAGTAACATTTGTGCTCCACCTAGAGTTTCCGGCATAGAACAGAAATACTTCTTGTTCTGCAACACGGGAAACAATGTCACGTTTTATGTACAGAGAACACAGACAACATATTTACCCGTCTGGGAAATCCTGTAAATTAGAAACAATGTAACATTTCTGCTCCGCAGCTTCCAGATCCCAGATTTACCCGTCTATGACGTGAATTAATGGAAATTGTCATTGTAAATACTGCAACGTGTAATCATGTGAATTCCGTGCTCCGTAGGATGACATATGTACATTTCTAGAACATGCTAATGTGGTGGGGGGGGGGGGGGAAGGTAGGCGGGACAGTCTGGCTCAGCTTTTTATTAATGGTGTTTGTATGTGGCGGTGACACGCTAGTTGTGTCTTATTAACGAGCGTTGTATGTTGTCGGGACAGACTGAAGATTTGCTGCAGCTGGAATCTCACTTTACTGTAAAAAAAAATAATAACTGTATATCTGACATATTGCGCTGACAGAGCGCCAACTGTGCGCAGATGACATGGAGTTCTTGGAAGAGGAGCTCTGCGATGGAACATAGAGAAGGATGTGTGAGCGCTTCTGTGCCGGGTGTCCTCCCACACGCTGTTTGTAACCTTTACCTGAAGATTTCTGTGACTTTGATTGCACATGGTTTGATTATTGGAGTAATTAAAAGGGAAAAAGGGAAGTTATCTACTATAAAACAACGTAGTGCATCGCTAAGAAGAATATATCTAATAAATTGCCTTTATGATAGATAGAGTTCATGCATAAACGATCATAAAATTTAAATGTTCCAAAAGTGACACTAGTGTTCTGAAGGGGCCTGCTTCAAAGATATTCCGGTGCTTGTGCACATGGAAATAATAAAATTGCGCACTCACCAGATACGCAACTTAAATGCGCATATAAATATGGATATAGATGTCCTCCCAATGGGATAAGGGTAGAACAGATGGTAGGTGATTCTCCCTCTGAAGGGTAAATAGCACAACGGGCAGTTCCAGGGCTTAACGTTGATCCAAGACAGCCAGAGGCCCCCTACAGGGTTTGATGGGTGCAGTTTCCTGGGTAAACAGGGGATCCCCTCTCTGGGTATTGGGATGGACTTTGAATAGGCTTCTGGAGGGTGGAGGCAGCTGTTGCTGTGTCGGAGGCACTTAATTTCATCCGTGATCAGAGCCCCGGCGGCTGCCTTCCCCGACCGCTCCACACTTCACCGCCCTCCAGATGCCCATTCAAGGTCCATTCCAGTACCCAGAGAGGGGATCTCCTGTTCCTGTTCTGTGCTGAGTGGCTGGCCTAATGCATTTTGAACATAGGAGGTCTGCTGCCCAGCACAGGCACCAGTCAGAGGAGGCTTTCCCAAGCTTTCTTTGATTGGATAAGGTGGAGCTTGTGAAGTCACGCCTCTCCACCTCCTCCAATCTGAGAATGCTTTGAATTCATTCAAGAATTTCAGAGAAACCCTGGATCAGCTAAACAGTTCAGAACACAAACAGCCGTTTTATCCTCATAAATGACGTTCTCTCATTGAAGCCCAGAATAGCTCTGGTAACACAGGCAAACAGCTGGAGGAATCCCAGGACAAAGGGCCACACCACTGAACCTGGAGTTAAAGGAACCTACCACTGCATCTGAGTATGGTGAGTAACTGGGCAATCCACTACAGTAACTCGCTATATGCAAATAGATATTGGGTTCCCTTTAAGTTCAGAACACAAACAGATACTTAGGATTATACTCATAAACAACATCCTCCTCATTGAAGTCTAGGGTAGCTCTGGTAACACAGGCAAACAGCTGGAGGGATCTCAAAATAAAGGGCCTCTCCACAAGACCTGAAGTTAAAATAACCAGCCTCTGAATCTGAGCATGGTGAGTAAATGGGCACTCCACTACAGTAACTCGCTATATGCAAATAGATATTGGGTTCCCTTTAAGTTCAGAACACAAACAGATACTTAGGATTATACTCATAAACAAACATCCTCCTCATTGAAGTCTAGGGTAGCTCTGGTAACACAGGCAAACAGCTGGAGGAATGCCAGGACAAAGGGCCACACCACTGGACTTGGAGTTAAAGGAACCAACTGAGCATGACAAGTAAATGGGCACTCCACTACAGTAACTCGTTATATACAAATAAATATTGGGTTCCCTTTAAGTTCAGAACACAAGCAGATACTTAGGATTATACTCATAAACAACATCCTCTTCATTGAAGTCTAGGGTAGCTCTGGTAACACAGGCAAACAGCTGGAGGGATCTCAAAACAAAGGGCCACTCCACAAGACCTGGAGTTAAAGGAACCAACTGAGCATGGTGAGAAAATGGGTACTCCACTACAGTAACTCCCTATATGCAAATAGATATTGTGTTCCCTTTAAGTTCAGAACACTAACAGATACTTGGGATTATACTCATAAACAACGTCCTCCTCATTGAAGTCTAGGGTAGCTCTGGTAACACAGGCAAACAGCTGGAGGGATCTCAAAATACAGGGCCTCTCCACAAGACCTGGAGTTAAAGGAACCAGCCTCTGAATCTGAGCATGGTGAGTAAATGGGCACTCCACTACAGTAACTCCCTATATGCAAATAGATACTGGGTTCCCTTTAAGTTCAGAACACGAGCAGATACTTGGGATTATACTCATAAACAACGTCCTTCTCATTGAAGTCTAGTGTAGCTCTGGTAACACAGGCAAACAGCTGGAGGGATCTCAAAAAAAAAAGGGCCACTCCACTGGACCTGGAGTTAAAGGAACCGACTGAGCATGGTGAGTAAATGGACACTCCACTACAGTAACTTGTTGGGTTTCATCTAAGTCAGTCTGTAAAATCTCCTTGAGATGAGCAATCAGGCTGTTGTATGAAGAGGTAATATATAAAGTGACACGTAGAGAGAAGTGGATATAAGACTGAGTGCCTTTAGTTTAATATCATCCTTTGTTAAGCGGAAATGACAAGTCTGATTAGCGGGATTATTTCAGCGGCCTTGGTGGCATTAATCAGCGCTGACCTTAACTTGTCAGTCACGGCATGGATTTCCGATCAGATATCTGTCAGGCCCCGCATTACGTCTTCACTTGGCCGTCCCTTCTCTGATAGCGGTCTTGACAACGCTGACGGCGTGTCATATTCCCGAGATGGATCGGCCGGGGGCTTTATCAGCGCAGATAATTCATGAATACTAATGGCTCGGATAGATAAACGACACTTATTGTCGAGACGAAAAAATTCTATCTTTTTCCGGCCATTCTTCCCAAAAGTCAAAAATAGACAGAATTATTCAAATGCTCATCAGGGAAGTTTAATACGTCTTTATCTTCTTTGGAGAGGAACCTGTAATTCCTCCATTGTAATATCAAATGGATTTTATGTCAGCGGGAAGGGATATTACCGCCATAGTGTATTTGTCTGAAGGACAGCCTGGCATTTGTCCAGAGGCTCTCCGTATGACCTGTCCATCAAGAGGGGCCTACCGGCCATTGTCTGTCTCCTGCTCATTACTAAATGCTCACTTCACTTGGTAAGCAATGATTGTAGGGAGGCTTCATAAATTGGGGCCGCCATTGCAAATGTATAGGTTGTCGTATATGTGAGATTATTCATTCCTCTTCCGGCCAATCATTGCAAGCCTAAGGGCAATATGAGACAACCCCAGACAATTGTTATGGGTCAACTGAGCTTGGTCCTACACCACACCCAGGTAACCATTTTTCTAACATACTAAAATGTAAAGCTGAACTCCAGACCAACTAAATATTCAGAGGAAATATAAAATGAGCCAAATGAGCCTACCAAAGGATTTGCATTTCTGTCCATCCAGTCCTGAGACTTACACATCTTTGCCACACAGCAAAGCACTGTCTGGCAGTAGAGAAGATCTGTGCTTGACAATGCTTACTCACTGTACCGTATCCATGAAAGAGCAGCATTGCCACGCTAGGACAGGTCTACAGGACCCCCTCCCTCTTCTCCTTAAAGTGATACTATAGTCTTTTTTTTTTAATTACAAACATGTCATACCTACCTGCTCTGTGCAGTGGTTTTGCACAGAGCAGCCCGGATCTTCCTTTTCTCAGGTCCCCTGCCGGCTCTCCTGGCCCCTCCCTCCTGTAGGGTGCCCCCACAGCCATCAGATTACTATGGGGGCACCCGAGCAGGCTTTCTCTTGAGCCATGGCTCTGCATATCCATAGAACACACAGAGCCGTGGCTCAGCCACACCCCCATCCCTCCCCTGATTGGCTCATTGGCTGTAATTGACAGCAGCAAAAGAAAAAAAAATGTCATCACCCCCCTCAAGTAGTACAGTGCCACTATGGTATTACTGTACTGCTAGGGTGACAGTATGTTTTAAAAAAACACACATAAATAATAATATAAAACATTTTGGGGGAAAAATTATAATTTTTGGTTATAAACTAATTTGGGTTATTCTTTTGTTTACTAAAAAGATAGCTGAATACATTTTGGCCGAGATTTATGAAGAAAGATTATTGATTTGCAAAATGTTATAAGAAAAACACTTTTTTTTCAAAATGTTTGGACTTTTTCATTTATATAGCAAAAAAACTAAAAATCCCAGCGGTGAATAAATACCACCAAAATAAATTTTTATCTGTCTCAAAAAAATGCTAAAAAATTCATAGGGGTACAGTGTTGCATGACCGCGCAATTGTCATTCAAAGTGTGATAGCGCTGAAAGCTGAAAATTGGCCTGGGCAGGAAGGGGGTGAAAGTGTCCGGACTGGAAGGGGGGAAAGTGTCCGGACTGGAAGGGGGTGAAAGTGTCCGGACTGGAAGGGGGGGAAAGTGTCCGGACTGGAAGGGGGGGAAAGTGTCCGGACTGGAAGGGGGGGAGAAAGTGTCCGGACTGGAAGGGGGGGAAAGTGTCCGGACTGGAAGGGGGGGAAAGTGTCCGGACTGGAAGGGGGGAAAAGTGTCCGGACTGGAAGGGGGGAAAGCGTCCGGAATGGAAGGGGGGGAGAAAGTGTCCGGACTGGAAGGGGGGGAAAGTGTCCGGACTGGAAGGGGGGGAAAGTGTCCGGAATGGAAGGGGGGGAGAAAGTGTCCAGAATGGAAGGGGGGGAGAAAGTGTCCAGACTGGAAGGGGGGTGAAAAGTGTCCGGACTGGAAGGGGGTGAAAGTGTCCGGACTGGAAGGGGGTGAAAGTGTCCGGACTGGAAGGGGGTGAAAGTGTCGGGACTGGAAGGGGGTGAAAGTGTCTGGACTGGAAGGGGGTGAAAGTGTCGGGACTGGAAGGGGGTGAAAGTGTCCAGACTGGAAGGGGGGTGAAAGTGTCCGACTGGAAGGGGGTGAAAGTGTCTGGACAGGAAGGGGGTTGGAAGTGTCCGGACAGGAAGGGGGGTGAAAGTGTCCGGACTGGAAGGGGGGGGAAAGTGTCCGGACTGGAAGGGGGGTGAAAGTGTCTGGACTGGAAGGGGGGTGAATTTGTCCGGACTGGAAGGGGGTGAAAGTGTCTGGACTGGAAGGGGGGAAAGTGTCCGGACTGAAAGGGGGTGAAAGTGTTTCGGACTGGAAGGGGGGGAAAGTGTCCGGACTGGAAGGGGGGGAAAGTGTCCGGACTGGAAGGGGGGGAAAGTGTCCGGACTGGAAGGGGGGGAAAGTGTCCGGACTGGAAGGGGGGAAAGTGTCCGGACTGGAAGGGGGTTGAAAGTGTCCGGACTGGAAGGGGGTGAAAGTGTCCGGACAGGAAATGGGGGAAAGTGTCCGGACTTGAAGTGGTTAATTATATAACTCATGTGGTATTTTAGTAGCTGTGCAGTATCTTGCCGCATACTGAGACAAGGTAAGATACCGCTTAGTGAATTCTCCCCTCTGGTCGAAGTTCGCGGTTGAACTTTCATTAGGTTTGAATGTTTAACCGGGAATATGAACAGGGGGGTGTTCGGCCAATCGCTACTCCTCAGCATTGCTTTCTGCATCGTTGCACAGTGAATAAAGGGCAAGCCGACACCTGTGCATTAAGGGGTGCTGACACCCCTCAGGGGTGGGCCCATGATGCTTTGCACTCACAGTAGAGTCCTCAGTCTTTCCTGTTGAGTGCCTCCAGGCTTTATATAAACTGGAAAACTGAGGACATCTGATGGCAAAAAAGTGGTACTGCAGGGGTATTTTATTGAAAAGCTAGGGACAGGTTCCCTTTAATGTGAAGGGTAGCTTTTACCCAGGACCCATAACATTGACAGTGAACATCCTTTAGAAAGAAGTAACAACTTTGGATTGTAATTTTATTTTATCCTTCCGTGATTTCATATTTTACATGGCTCACATGATTTGACAAGTTCCCTCTCCCTGTCACAGCATATTGGAGACGGCTGTAAAGAAGACCCCAGCAGTTCTCTAACACCTAACACAGAGGTGTGACCAGTCCCCACAGGTTTCAGAAATCAATTATAACTCCTGGCCTCCGATCTCAGCACTCTGTCAGAGAAGACTCAGGGGAGGCAGATGGAGTTTTGTTTGCAGGTACAGGCTTGTTGGTTTGTTCTCCGGGGACATGGAGAGTCTACAGGTCTGTGTTCCCAGCCAGCAGTACATCTCACACATGCGGCGTGTGAACAAGGAAAGGTGCGAGAAATTCATTACCTTAAAACTCAGAGGACACGTTAAAAACTATTGTGGATGTTTGTTTTATAGAATTGTACGGATTAAAGTGGAACTCCTGGTATGTATTTTTTTTGCATAGTTACATTGGTCCAGCATGGACCGATGGAGGCATGCATATTCCATAGATGTTGAGGGTTCAGATCCAGGTCCTGACAACTTACTGTGGTAGCTACCGATGATAGCTATGCCTATTCCATAGCTGGCCGATCCCCATGGAAGCAGAGAATTATGTTACAGTCAGGGGTCAGGCTCGGAGAGCAATGACCAGCTGAAGAAGTATACAGACAGGTTACCCTGGTGGATGATGTGACCTCAACCCAGCTGCAGGGTCTAAGCACTAACTGGCATTCGCCAGAGCTCCTGATGATGAAGATGGCTTTTGCTGCATGTTAGTACCAGATCGAGGTCCTCAGGATTTCCCCACGAGGATGTGAGCAAGCCGGGGTTCACTAAGTTAGTAACAGGTGGTTGCCAACTGGGATCAAGCGGAATCGTAGACAAGGAAAAAGCCAAAGGTTGATAACAAGAGTTGCAGGATGGGATTGAGTGAAAGCATAGTCGAGGAACAAGCCAAAGGTCAGTAATGAGTAGTAGTAAAGATACGGATGGCAGCAGGAGAGACAAGAGCAAGTCATCGGCTGGAGGGAGCAAGTGCACAGGCATGGCTTAAATAGGAAGTTAATGGGAGGTGCAAGGAATTCAAGGTTCACCAGAAACAAGACACAAGGCAAAATTGTCAAAAGAAACAGAGAAGGTGCTTTCCAACATATCGGGAGGATCAGCAAGAAGAGCTACTGCTGGGCACAGCAGATGTTGAGAGTTCAGATCTAGGTCCTGACAACTTACTGTGGTAGCTACCGGTTTGAGTATGGGGGTTGTGGACTCTGAGGAACTCCTGGTATGTATTTTTTTTTTGCATAGTTACATTGGTCCAGCATGGACCGATGGAGGCATGCATATTCCATAGATCTTGTGGGTTCAGATCCAGGTCCTGACAACTTACTGTGGTAGCTACCGATGATAGCTATGCCTATTCCATAGCTGGTCGGTCCCCATGGAAGCAGAGAATTATGTTATGTCAGGGGTCAGGCTTGGAGAGCAATAACCAGCTGAATAAGTATACAAACAGGTTACCCTGGTGGATGATGTGACCTCAACCCAGCTGCAGGGTCTAAGCACTAACTGGCATTCACCAGAGCTCCTGATGATGAAGATGTGTTTTTGCTGCATGTTAGAACCAGATCGTGGTCCTCAGGATTTCCCCACGAGGAGGTGAGCAAGCCGGGGTCCACTAAGTCAGTAACAAGTGGTTTTTGACTGGGATCAAGCGGAATCGTAGGCAAGGAAAAAGCCAAAGGTCAGTAACGAGTAGTAGTGAAGATACGGATGGCAGCAGGAGAGACAAGAGCAAGATCATCGGCTGGAGGGAGCAAGTGCACAGACATGGCTTAAATAGGAAGTTAATGGGAGGTGCAAGGAGTTCAAGGTTCACCAGAAACAAGGCACAAGGCAGAATTGTCAAAAGAAACAGAGCTTTCTAACATATCAGGAGGATCAGCAAGAAGAGCTACAGCTGGGTGCAGCAGATGTTGAGAGTTCAGATCTAGGTCCTGACAACTTACTGTGGTAGCTACCGGTTTGAGTATGGGGGTTGTGGACTCTGAGCATGTCTCAACATGTGTAACATGAAAGATGGACTTAGTGCTTAATAACATTTTACTGCTTTGATTCACAGTGTCATATTGTTCACTAACTCCAGCAGGAACACTGTTTTCAGCTCTTCTCCAGGTTCTTCCCTCATCAAGTCCTTCCCGGCTCTCCTTCAGCTCTACAGCTCATCAGGCCACTAGAGGTGCACCTGGGGTCTGGTGGGCACCGGGCATAATGATGTGGCAGTGCAGTGGCCACACAGTGGTGTGTCGATGGAGGTGGTGGGCACCTCTCCCTGAGCTCTGAAGTGTGTTGCTCTGTTTGACTTTGATTGGGCCACTGTTGCACAAACACAAGGGGAGAAGTGGGCACCTGTAGAATGCATGGTATGGAAGGGTGCTGTTGGTTAGCTGGGGGCTGGGGGAGGACCAAAGCAGTGAAGGACCTGAAGAGTGGCCCACAGACTTCAGAAAAAGGAAAATATATAATAAAAGAATGCATTCCAAAAATACTTGAATTTTCCAGGGATGGGGATGGTTTTTGGGGCAGGAGTACGAGTCCAGAGTTGGACTCAACCTGCCTTTGCTCACCTACTGGTCTGTTTGTATGGGCATGTGGCTCCCTCCCCATGTATAAGTGCATTGGTGGTTCACTTTAGGGCCTAGCTGACATGAGTGATGATGTCAATATAGCATGAACAGGCCATTTTTTGTAGCATCCGTAGCTTCCAGGTGCCTTCCTGTCCTGAGACGCTCACACCCCCTATTTTCCTGTATGGGTGTCACAGGGACAGAAAATGAGGGAAAATCTCCCTTGTGGGCCACAGACAGATATGAAAACTTGACATAAATCATAACTCTTCCCTACTACATATCCAAAAAAAATGGCGATGACTTGAGCTATGATAAACCTCAGTCTCTTTTCAGCAGAGAACAGCCCCCCTATTGGGGCCACTACACCCACCCGCCCTACGACCGCCATTTGTGACATATGACCGCGCAGTAGCGCAGTGTGCCGGCTAGGCTGCGGCTTGCATCAGTTCCTTCCCTCGTCTCTCTAGAGGTGCAGAGGCGCGTGGATAATTTTGCACACTGCATTTAATTAACCAGTTCCCGGGGATAGACATTTGCAGTTTCTTTTCCTTTGAAGTGATCTCCCACCAGGTAGTGTTCAGCGATTCAAAGAAACAGATTTACGAGGTGGGAATGTTGTCCTACATTGTAGCTCATCGCTGGCTGGCTCATCACAGTCTGTTTCATGTACATTTTTGCTCCGCACGCCAGCAACACGCGACTCACTTCTTTCTGGAACAATAGCGCACTCTTCATTTCGAGGCAATCCCATTGTGGATAATTAGAAAGGAACTTTAGGATGACTTTCTAAAAAAAAATTACCTTACTGTATATATTATGTATATAGGAAAAAGAATTTTATACAGAATTTTAAAATGCCTGGGGCAGTGGCCGAATATATGGGACAGTACCAGGACAGGTTCATCCAGTGCCCAGGGCAAGGATGCAGAACTGCGCCCTCCTCCATTCTTTGACCCCCTGCTCCAGCTGTCCATGGTTGGCATGGGCAATTGCCCATACGTGGCCAATTGCTTGCTTTCTTGAAGTTTGCATGTTCTCCCTGTGCCGATGTGGGTTTCCTCCAACACTCCATGTTCTTCCAACACTCCAAAGACATGTTGGTAGCCCACATGGAAGAAAAATATATTTAAAATATATTTTAAAAATATTTTCCCCAAATATATTGACATATATTTGAAATACTACAATTTTGGCCGTATTCAATAGATTAAAAAAAAATAAATATATATATATATATATACACATACACACACTGTATGTTGAAATGGTTTTTTATAACAAAATATATGAAAAAATATTTTTAAAAATACACTTTCATATTTTTATACTGTATGTCTTTAAAAATACATTCAATCTACATTTTTGGAATGCATTTATGCCAAGTAAGTAAAAATTCTTGTCAAAGGGTAGTGCCTATCAACAACATTAAACGATGGGGATGAGGACTCTCCAGAGCTGCGTGAGGAGTTAGGGGTGAACAGAGGGGATTGAGGGAAGGGGGGGGGAAAATAATATATTTTAAAAAAATATTTTTCATATATATTGTAATATATGAAAAATCGCATTTCAACATCCAGTTTGTATGTGTGTTAATATAATATGTTGTGTGTGTATTATTGAATGTATTTTGAAATATATTGAATACACCCAAAATTGTAGTTATTTCAAATACATGTCAAATATATTTGGGAAAGCATATTTTTAAAAATATATTTGGCTCCTGTCCAAGCTGGCCCCCAAGTATGTGAGATTAGGGGACCTTAGATAATGTAAGCTCCTTGGGGGCGGGGGACAGATAAGTACAATAAATGTAAACTAAAATTGTTGGCGCTCTATAAATACCTGTCATCAGGAAAGAATGTAACCCTTTTC